AAATTTTTGAAACTGGTTCAATTTTCGCAAATTTCACATTTATTGACAAATTTTACGCGGCAAAATTATTTGATTTGTTTATGTACTACGAATGAGCCGTAAACTATGATAATGTGAAAATGATTAATAAAAAATTGTTTCTGTTTAAAATTTTCAAAACGCTAAAATAAAAACCCCGAAAATTACGCCGTTTGAAAAAAATCATGTTCCGTTTTTTTTTGTGTAGTCAATTTAACCTTATTTGACAAGTGGACCCAAGTGAAATAATCCTAAGAAAATCTGGAAGAGTTTCGAAAAACCGCAAAAAATTTTCTGAGAGAACTCTTCTTAGAAAACAACGAAGAGTAAAATACGAATAATCCTAAAATAATTCAAAAAAATTCAAAATACAACAGGAAACCCCAAAAAGTTTCTAAGAAAGAAGTAGTCTCGAAAAATATCCGTAGTTCCTAAAAAATCCCAAAAAGTAATGCACGAATGACTATGAAAACACCCGAAATAATCTTAGGGAATACTCGGAAAATTCGGCCAAAATCCCGAGAAATATAACAGAAAGTATCCTTAAAAATCCTGTAAAAGTAAAAGGAATTTTCGACTAAATCTCCAAAGTTCTTAAAAAAGGCCCAAAAATAAAACACATGCATCTTGAAAATTTTCTAAGAAATCCTTGAAAAATCCCAAACAAATTTTGGAAAGTTCCGAAAAATATCTAAAGGTCCTGAAAAACCTTGAGCGAAGAATAATCCGAAAATTCTGTAAAGATGCGAAAAAGCAAGAAAAAAAACACAAAGCATTTCAATATATTTTCAATCCCTAGAATATAAAAAAATTATCCGTTATTCCTTCTTTTTCTGAATTGTTTAGTATTTAGAAATCTACTGAATACACATGTACCGCATACTCTCTTCAAAAGAGGCACAACTCAAAAACTTTAGATTTTTTACATAAATAAATTCATAATATTTATCTGCAAATAATGGAAAAAAATGATTTTTTTGAAGATTATATTTTCTAACTACTGTTATACCTAATTTTGTATCAATTGCGTGGAGCGTCTAAGATCCCCAAGCATTTAAATTTTCGGATCTGATTTTTGAGTTTTACCACTTTGGAAGAGGACGTGTGATATGTTCAAATTTTATTGTTATTTCCCGGATAACACAAAACTCTAAGCGCGAAGAACAATTGGGTTTAAAAAGATTGTGTACGGCTCTAGTTGTAGACTTTACTTTTATAAGGGATCTATAAAGCTCTCAATAAAGAAGATATAATCTCAAATTTTATAAGGCTTTTTTTTACTGTTTTCTCTTCCATTTCGTGATTAGTACAAATGCTCTACAAATTTAAAGTTTTAGATCTCTAGAAATTTTCTTTATTTAGATCGATTAATAAGGACTCTTTTGTTAAGCAATTAGTCAGCAACAAGCAAATTTATAGATTTCTGTAAATTTAAATGTTTAAAGAAACTGTGCATTCTCTTTTCAAAGTAGAATTTGTCTGCATAAAGATCATGAATGCTTCAGTCATACCATTTCGTATTTCGCTAAATAAGAAAAAAAGATTTGTTTTTGAACTTTTATATCTCTATGAATTTTCTGTGTAGATTAATTGTTATTCCGCTTATCGAAGTTGGATTCCTCCTCAAAACGATCGTGAATACTCTCTTTACCATACCATTTCAGACTTGAATAGAGAATGAAAGAGAAAATACTCTATTCATTTCATTGCCCTTCACGTAGACATTTTGATACTTGAACACTTAGAATTTGAATGTTTTTTTATGATTTTTATTTGTTCAAGTATCCCCTCCATGCAAGGCTCTTCACGAAGCTTATTTTGGATTTTAATACACAAATTAATTTTATAAGTGTCTTTGGAAAGATTTCTGAAAAATTAGACAAAGTCCATAATCAATTATTCACTTGATCATTTCATTTCATAAAATATTTCAGAAAAAGAAAATTGTTTCAGTTCAGATACATCTATACAATTATAAATCTGTAGACAAGTCGTGTCTGTACATTGAAAATTTCTTTAAAAGAATGATCGAAGGTGATGCAGGGAATATAATAGAATACATTTAGGACCCATGTTTATAATTTTTGTCTGTATGTTTGTTTGTTTGTCTGTTTGAACTTACTTAACTCCGGAACAACAGAATGGATTTTCATGGGGCTTTAACTGGTATCTATACAGTAACCTCGGACATAACATAGGGTATAAAAAAATGGGATCTGGTAAGGGGGCCGGCACCTCCCATAGGCATGACATTTTTAATCAGCAATAACTTTGATACCGTAAGTCACATGACTTTGAAATTTGGTTTGTTGGCATATATATCTATGGTAGATGCTTATAATAAAGTAGATATACTTTTATAAAAGGGGTGTGGCACATTCTATAGGTATACAAGTTTTTAATCAGCCATAACTTCGGAATCATACGTCATATCAATATGAAATTTGGTATGAAGATATATCCAGGGTAGGCGCTTCTAGTGGGAGTTTGTATTAGGGGCGTATCATATCCCATATACGTGAAATTTTACATTTGCTATATCTTCGGATCTTTATGTTATGGTACACAAATGAGTTTACACAAGAAGGCGTGGCGTTTATAGTAAACTGAAAGAGAGTGAGTGTTTACCAGCGGCACGGTACTTCCTATAGATGTAGTACATTCAGAGAACCATAACCTTTGGCAGCCCATTAAGAATATACAGCTTAATGGAAAAAAATTAAAAATTAAATCGCATTTCATTATTCTTTCGGTAACTTGAGCCACCTAACCTTAATAATGAAACATGATATTCGAATAGTATTTATGTTTCTACACCGCAACAAAAAATTAAAAGTACTGTTCATAAGGAGGTCTTAAATTAAATAAGAAACGTGGAGCGCATGCAATACAAAGCATTCGATTTAATTGACAATAGTCAAACTACATAACGTAGACCTAAAATTTCTACAGCGAAAGTAGAACTTTGAAATCGATTTTAAGCGGTCGTTATTCATATACCCACATACATACATTCATATATTACTTTTCATATCAATTCAAGTGTATTACATGCGCCCCACGCTTTTCATTTTCAATTTCATAGATTGTTTATAATGACTTTTGCTAAAATTTCAAAATCAAAAGTTATCAAAACAAATTCTATGGGACTGAGAAATATTATTTTCTACTTTTTAGTCCATTTATAAAAGCGTTGTATATTAAAAAGTTTTTTTTATATTATTTATTTTCTACTTTTTAGTCCTGTCTGAATAAAATTTTGCAATAGATATTAAAATAATTCAACGATATTAATAGAAAGGTGCACACACATGCATTTACATATGTATGTACATACAAACGAGCACCAATTAATTTTATTTAAAGAAATGGCGTGTCGTCTATTTCCGCTGTAGCAAACGTAGTACATAGGGCGACATCTAGATGCCATCTACCTCGCCATATTCACTACAGATGTCGCCCTATGCACTATGCTTTTTTATAGGAACTTTTCAAAGCAAAGGTTTTATGGTGTCGGACACACAACATTGAAAGTTTCTGGATCCACAACATTAAAAGTTTCTGGACACACAACATTGCAAGTTGATAAAAGCGTTGTAATAAAATAGTTTATGTCTCCTATGATTTATGGTAAACTGAAAATCTTTCTTATCGTTTTATATTTTATTACAACGCTTTTATCAACTTTCAATGTTGTGGCTCCAGAAACTTTCAATGTTGTGGATCCAGAAACTTTCAATGTTGTGTGTCCGACACCATAAAACCTTTAGAGATTCGGCGGTAATGTATATTTTAACTTACATACATTTAATTTCGGTTTTCTAATAAGCAAAATAAGCAAAATAGATATCATAATGCGTCAGCACCGCCGTAGTCCTTCAAGAAACATCGTAAATAGACGTACACCTGTACATACATATTTACTGAGCATGTGTATGTATGTATACTATATATGCACATTAGCCTGTATCAAATAAAATGGGTTTTTTCTTCAGCAACTTTCGTTGTTGGTCACAAAAAATATTTGTACCAAAATTTCAGTCATCCATCTTGGTTTTTAAGTTAGCACTCGTAATAATTAAATTGTTAGGAGTAAAATTAGAGTTAAATCGTTAAATAATTAACCCAACAATTTTCGAGGGTTGCCAATGAATAAAAAAATGTCAAAAATGTTTAATTTAAAAAATATTTTTGAATATGTAACTATGTAAATATATACATAAGTATGTTCATAGAGAGAGTGGTGCCATCTTAGTTTCCAGTGGTGCAAGCAAAATGTATTTAACAAAGTGTGATTGAATTTGACATTGCTTTCAGAAGAACCATCCTATAATGTCAAATTAAAAAAAAAATTGTATGAATTTTGAATTGTTTGTTTATATTTTTTGACATAATATTTAGTACGTTAAAAGACCTTGGGTGCAAGACATTGTCTGGTTTAGGAATATAAAAATTTAACTCTGAGCTACTTAACTTTCTATTTATATATTTAAATCTGGATGTTCTGCAAGTGGGCCTAAGTGAAAGTTTGAAGTAGCCAGGACTTATTGTTGATTTTTCGCTAGTTTTTTTGTTGAAGTTTTTGCTAATTTGTTCCCTATAAACCAGTCGTTGAACACACTTTGGAAGGAAGAAAGTGACTGACACCGATAACAAAAAAATGCACAAAAATCAACGGTAAGTCCTACCTACTTCAAACTTGCATCAGTTATACTAAAATTTAATAGGCGAGAAGATTGTGTTTTTTTTGTTTTATTTGCTATCTCCAATTGTTTATTAAAACTATTGGGCGGAAACTTAGCCACAATTATTTTTTTGTGACCGCCAACGAAATTTTCATATGGCACCGAAGGAAGAAATAAACGTTCGTTTTAAGTGACACAGTCTAATATGTATACATATATATGTACATACGTGTTAGCTCATGTTAGCTAAGTAAACATATACATACATATGTAGCTCTAATCTAATTATAGGGGTCGGTAACGGTATATAAGCAGCCGAAACTCTACTTAGTTTAAGTTTTCGCATTAAGCACTTCCCATACAACAATCCGTCAAAATGGCCAACCAGTTCGTTTGCTGTCTATTGCTGTTGATCGCAGCCACAAGCACCTATGCTCAGATAAGCTCTTCCGTCGGAATTGAAGGTGGTGTAGCAGCAGCCAGTGGCACCCGGTCATACGTCGTATCGGTGAAGGACTCAGGTGGATCCATCATCTGTGGTGGTGCTTTATACAATGATGTTACCGTTATTACCGTTGCCTCGTGTTTGGTTTTCCTCAATCCTGAAAAATTGCTTGTAGGTGTAAACAATGGCACTAAGAACGTAAAAATTGTGGGATATGCTTCCAATCCTGACTTTGACTCCGACACAAGTGAACATGATGTGGCCCTCTTGAAGTTAGCAGAATCCGTAAGTGCTGA